CTCAGGCTATAGTTAAAATATGGTTGAAGTCCAATTGGTATCCAAGAAGTTTGATTTGTCATTATCAATTTCTTCTTCTTTTAAAAAATGTTTCATTTCCCATCCTCACAAACTACTAGAACAGTTTCAATCCTCTTTCCCCTCCAAACTCCACAAACAAGTTGTTGTGGCTTGAATGCATTTCATTTTTCCTAATACTCCACTGACAAATGCCTCTAATTTCTGCTCCTGGAACAGGCCCGAAAGAATTTTGTTCAGGGCCACATTCGACATCCTCTGTGACTGATAAACATTCCCTCCTCATCTTTCTGGACCTGTCTGAATCCTTCAAAATGGTTGACCATGTCATCCTCCTCCAGAGCCACTCCGCTGTTGTCCAGCTGTGGGCACTACCCTCACCTGGGTCTATTCCTATCTGGCTAATGGTAGCCATACAAATCACCTGCAATGGCTTCTCATCTTACTCCTACACCATTACCTTCAGTATTCCCCACGTCTTCCATGCCGCCTCCAAATTCTCACTAACATGTTTTCCCTGGGTGAGATTTTCCAAAAAAAATGTAGCATCAGATTCTACATGTATCAGAACACTGAAAGAGGCCATTCAATCCATCATATCAATGCATGCTGACTGTTCCCCGTTTTACCTCACCACCAATTCTGCCAACCCCTCCACTCTGTCCAAATGATCCAACATTTTTTTTGACATCCAGAATATAATGAGAAAGTGTTTTCTGATTAAGTATTGGGAAGCGGAAGCCATTTGCCTTTGAGTCCTGTTACGGCTCCATGCTGCGTCGGGGTCTATCTCTCTCCTGATAACTGTCTGAGTCTTGAAAGAATCAGTATTGTATTAGACTCCAAAATGAACTTGTAGGCTCATATCCACACCTGCACAAGGACTGGATATTCTCATCTCCTTAACTGCATCTGTCTACATCCGTGTAGCAGCTCATCTGCTGCTGAACCTTCATCAATATTTGTGTTGCCATTTGGATTGACAACTCCACACTCTTCGTTAACCCTCTGTCAGCTTGAGGACATACAAAACCTTAATTGTTCCAATCCTATGTACACTGCCAGGGATGTTTTGTTGCATTAAAAGTGCTATATAAATACAAGTTCTTTTTGATGCGCGTATTTTGATGCTTTCTTCTGGTACTGGAATGCAAAGTATGTCTTCTTGCTGTACTGAGAGACAATACACCTGCATGGCATGCAATTCTGCAAGGCATTGTACCTGGACACTTGCAGCACTGCGATGCACAGGGCCTGCATGCTTGGATAACGATGATGCATTGTATTTGCAAGCTTCAATCTGTTGTCCCTGTTCTGTAAGAGCATAGGGACCCTGGAGCAAACTTGTGATGATGTCATGGAGCTGCGCATCATTGAGTATAAATGAGGCACAGTGGGTGGTGTTAAAACATTCTAGAAGAATACCGTCAGACTGTGATATTCTGGATTGAGGGAGAGTCTTGAAAGTATATGGAGATAGAGTCCTTATCTAAAGTAACTATAACTCAGCCTGGCATTTTAGTTCCTTACCGTATTGGGCTGGGAATGGGCACTTCTGTCCTGAGCTACCTTAATTCAACAGTATTTTTCATGTAAATAGCAAATAATTATTAATAACGTAATAAATCAGTTCTATTATAGACTGTGAATGTCTACAGCATTACATGAAATGGTGAAGCACGTGTCAGACAGACTGGTTACCTCATCACCAGGCTATAACTCAACACTCAATCGCTAACTAGCAGTTGAAGCAGACATAGCTTTCCTTATTGCACTGTTAACCCTGCTTTATTACTGATGATCAATCCAAAAATTCCATTTAATAATCACAATTTTAATTGTACATTTATTGAAAAAAACAGGAATGCCACTGGTGTCAGAGCCAACGAATACAGCCCCCAATGTGACACCAAGCTGTTCAGAGCCAATGTCCCAGCCAACAAATACAGCCCCTAGTGTGACACCAAGCTGGTCAGAGCCAATGAGCTTATAGGATCAGTTCTCATTCTATGTTGAGTTCACTGGTTACAATGAGAGGTGTCACTGTAATTACCCTGGTGTTAAAGGGAGGAAGGTGTAGCATCAGTCACAGGCTTCTGCTCCTGATCACTATTTGGGACCTTGTTGAGAGGTGTGTGGGATCTGGTATGAGTGTGTTTGTGTATCCAGATGAGGTGTGTACGCTTGTTTAGAGGGTGCATGCAAACATATTGGAGGAGAGGGTGTCAGTGTGTGTGATGTGGAGTCCAAGGCCTGCATCTGAGAAGCAATCAGATTTATTCTTTAGTCAAGAGGAAGAAGGAAGCTTACTTAAGGTTGAGGAAGCAAGGATCGGACAGGGCTCTAGAGAGCTGCAAGGAAATGAAGAATGGACTTAGGAGGGCAAGAAAGGGGTATGGAAAAGTCTTGGCGGGTAGGAAAAGGAAAACCCCAAGGCGCTCTATACTTATGTGAGGAACAAGAGGATGGCCAGAGTGAGGGAGAGTGGAGGGAACTTGTGCGCTGAGGTAGGGGAGGTCCTTAATGAATACTTCGCTTCAGTATTCACTAGTGAGATGGACCTTGACGTTTGTGAGGACAGCATGAAACAGGCTGATGTGCTCAAACAGGTTGATATTAGGAAGGATGATGTGTTAGAAATTTTGAAAAACATGAGGATAGATAAGTCCCCTGGGCCAGACGGGATATGCCCAAGGTTGCCACGGGAAGCGAGAGAAGAGATTACTGCACCTTTGGCGATGATCTTTGCATCCTCACTGTCCACTGGTGTAGTACCAGATGATTGGAGGGTGGCAAATGTTATTCCCTTGTTCAAGAAAGGGAATAGGGATAATCCTGGGAATTACAGACCAGTCAGTCTTACTTCTGTGGTGGGCAAATTAATGGAGAGGATTCTGAGATTATTTATGATTATTTGGAAAAGCACAGTTTGATTAGAAATAGTCAGCTTGGCTTTGTGAGGGGCAGGTCATGTCTCACAAGCCTTATCGAATTCTTTGAGGATGTGACAAAACAGGATGAAGGTCGTGCAGTGGATGTTGTGTATTTTGATTTTAACAAGACACTTGATAAGGTTCCCCATGGTAGGCTCATTCAAAAAGTAACGAGGCATGGGATTCAGGAAATTTGGCTGTCTGGATACAGAATTGGTTGTCCAATAGAAGACAGGGGGTGGTAGTAGATGGAAAGTATTCAGCCTGGAGCTCGGTGACCAGTGTTGTTCCGCAGGGATCTGTTCTTGGACCTCTGCTCTTTGTGATCTTTATAAATGACTTGGATGTGGAAGTGGAAGGGTGGGTTAGTAAGTTTGCCGATTACATGAAGGTTGGTGGAGTTGTGGGTAGTGTGGAGGGCTGTTGTAGGTTGCAATGTGACATTGACAGGATGCAGAGCTGGGAAAAGAAGGTGCAGATGGAATTCAACCCAGAAAAGTGTGAAGTGATTCATTTTGGAAGGTCAAATTTGAATGCAGAATACAAGGTTAATGGCAGGATTCTTGGCAGTGTGGAGGAACAGAGGGATCTTGGGGTCCATGTCCATTGATCCCTCAAAATTGCTACCTAAGCTAATAGGGTTGTAAGGAAGGCGTATGGTGTTTTGGCTTTCATTGGTAGTGGAATTGAGTTTAAGAGCTGTGAGGTTATGCTGCAGCTCCATAAAACCCTGGTTAGACCACACTTGGAATATTGTGTTCAGTTTTGGTCACCTCATTATAGGAACGTTGTGGAAGTTTTAGAGAAGGTGCAGAGGAGATTTACCAGGATGCTGCCTGGACTGGAGAGCAGGTCTTATGAGGAAAGGTTGAGGGAGCTAGGGCTTTTTTCATTGGAGCGAAGAAGGATGAGAGGTGACTTGATAGAGGTGTACAAGATAATGAGAGGCATAGATAGAGTGGATACCCAGAGACTTTTTCCCAGGGTGGGAATGACTATTACAAGGGGGCATAATTTTAAGGTGATTGGAGGATGGTATAGGGGACATGTTAGAGGTAGGTTCTTTATACAGTGAGTGGTGGGTGCGTGGAATGCACTGCCAGCAGTGGTAGTGGAGTCAGATACATTAGGGACATCTCAGCAATTCTTGGATAGGCACATGGATGATATATAGGGTATGCAGGGTAGTTTGATCTTGGAGTAGGATAATAGGTTGGCACAACATCATGGGCCGAAGGGCCTGTACTGTGCTGTACTGTTCTATGTTCTATGTTATTCAGTCACTGGGCACCCTACATCACGAATAAAGAGTGGACGGAAATTAATTCTTCAACAGGATCAACGGTAACTGCATAAGATCCACTAGTCAGCCAGTATCTGACTAGGGGGAGACAATGGTCTAGTGCTATTATCACTGGACTATTAATCCAGAGACACAGGTAATGTTCTGGGGATACTGGTTCAAATCTCTCCAATGGAATTGAAATTTGAATTCATTTTTTAAAAATCTGGAATTAAGAGTTTAATGAGGATCCATTGCCAATTGCTGGGAAAAACCTACTGGGTTCGCTAATGTTCTTTAGGGAAGGAAATCTGCCATCTTTACCCGGTCTGGCCTGACTGTGTCTCCAGACTTTCAGCAATGTGATTGACTCTTAACTGCCCTCTGGGCAATTAGGGATAGGCAATAAATGCTGGCCTTGCCAGAAATGCCCACATCCTGTGAATGAATGATTTGTTTTTCAATGTCGGCTGTATTGAATACACTAGCAGCGCCTATTGTGACAGACACAATGTCAGTGCCCCATGTTGGGGAGATGGTGTCCAGCTTTAGGGCAACAGTGAAGAAAATCAGATACACACAGTGGCAGAAATACCCTCATAGCCATCAGCTCAAGGTAACCAGTTCTGTAAGAACATGCCTCTGTTTCTATGACATGCAAACGGTGAAGTACAACTTCATAAGACCGATACGATGAACAGGCACATTCCTTCAAGCACATCAAACGGCTTTCTTTAGAAAACACCAAATAAAGAAACCACGTGAGATCAAGCCTTAAGTGGAGTCTTTTTCTGTGGAATCATACCTTCAATGACTGGCTCTCTGCTGACATATGTGGCCCAATAAACCAGATTGAAAATGACAAAGAGAACAGGAAATACAATTCGGGACATTTTGTCGACTTTGCTGACACTGTTGTAGGTCTTCCTGCTCTCGAGCAATTTCTCCTCCACTTTGGCCAGTTTGGTGTGGGTGTGCGTCCCTGCACTCTTTGAGATGGTGGCCAGACTGGGATCCTTGGTGATGTTCAGAGTGTATGTCGTCCCCACAATGTTGTATGTGTTGTTGGTTTTCTTGGCCAGGTTAACGGGTTCCCGTTTCTGGAATGGAGATTGTCAATTTAGTGAGCAAAGGAGCAAACAGGCTGGGATTTGCAGGTGAATAGGGGAATGTAGGGCTGCAGTCAGACAATGCCACAAGAGAAAGACAAATGGAACAAAAATAGAAAGTGCTGGAGGGACTGAGCAGCTTTGGGAGAATACACTGCTTTTGAGATTTTACCTTATTTTTCAAGCAAGGCTGATAGTTTGTACTAAATTAATCGATAACTAAGATGGTCAGTAAAGTTGAAGCGGTTCACTGACATTTTTTCACATCTGCTCAAATTGTTTCATGCTACTCCAGTCTCAGTCTGATTGGAAATGCAAACAGAATCATTTGGAAGGAAGGTAAACATGTCTTTTAACAGGAAATGGGGGAGAGAGAGGTGGGATATATCCTCAGATTCTACAGTATTGTGTGTGGTATCAGACTTGGGGAAAGCAAAGAAAGGGAGATGGGTCTCTCCTGTCAGAATGGGTATTTAAATTTAAGATAAAGAAGTGGTGACACAGCAGACTGTTCGATGTAGGACAAACTGGATGGGGGTAATGCAGTGGGAGAGGCAATGAACCATCAGACTAGGGGACAATGAAAGTTAGGTTTGGTGTAGGCAATCAAGGTCAGACTGGGGTTGGGAGAATGAAGGTCAGACATCAGTGGTGCTAATGGTGAAGGGGGAGGATGCTCATCTTGTTCTTTATGTCATTTCCTGACAGGATCCCATCTGACTATATTTCATTCTGAACAAATGAAGAATGTCTGAGCTTCTCTGACGGTAACACCTCGTGAAGGTTGTCTCAATGTGAACCACTTCATTTGGCTAGTTAAAGGAATATTGAAGAGGACTACATGCATTGGAGATCTGTGGTGCAGTTGGTTGTGAATCAGAAGCTTTGTTTCTGGAGTGAGAATTGAACCCAGAGGGAAAACAGAAGGCCATTCAGACCATTGACACTGCTACTCCATTCAATTAGATCATGGCTGATCATCTATCTCAATGCCTCTTTCCCAAAATCCCTGGATGTTAATAGATTCCAAAAATCTATTGATTTCTGTCTTCAATGACTGAAGTCCCATAACCGTCTGGAGTAGGGAATTCCAAAGATTCACACCCTCGGAGTGAAGAAATTCCTCTTTATCGCAGTCTTAAATGACCTTCTCCCTTTCTTAAGATTATGTCCCCTTGTTCCCGACTCACCAGCCAAGGGCAACACCCATTCACCCTGTCATGTCCTGTAAGAATTTTCAATGAGATCGCTGTTCGTTCTTCAAAATTCAGAAAATACAGATCACATTTCCTCAATAATAAGACAATCCCACCATCCCATGGATTAGTCTGCTGAACCTCTGTTGCACTTCTTCTCTGACAAGTATATCCTTCCTTAGATAAGGAGAGCAAAACTGTACACAATACTCCAGGTAAGGTCACAAAGGTTCTCTATAACTGTGGTGGGAATCTTGTGCTGAAATCCCGTAGGATGAAGGCCAAAATGCTATATGACTTTCTAAACACTTGCTTCATTTAGGTACTGAACAGCGCAGCTACAAGAACAGGTCAAAGGCTAAAATATTCCTCGGCAAGTAAGTCACTTTGTGACTTCCCAAACTCTGTCCGTCATTTACAAGGTATAAGGCAGGAGTGTGGTAGAATATTCCCCACTTGTCTGGATGAGGTGCAGCTCCATCAATAATAAAGAAACCTGACACCATCCAGGAGAATGCAGTTTGGTTGACTGGTTTCATATCCACAAACATTCACTCCCTCCGTCACCAACACTCAGTGTGTACTATCTACAAGATGTACTGCATCAGAAGCACCTAGCACAATCATCACCACTACCACACTTAGAAGGACAAGGGCTGTAGATAATTGGGAGCATCACCAACTGCAAGTTTTCCTTTAAGTCACACACCATCCTGATTTGGAAATATATCGTCATCCCTTCAATGTCTGGGATGGCACAGTGGCTCAATGATTAGCACTACTGCCTCACAATAATAGGACCAGGTTCAATTTCAACCTCGGGCAACTGTCTGTCTGGAGTTTGTACGTTCTCCCTGTGTCTGCATGGGTATCCTCCAGGTGCTCCGGTTTCCGTCCAAAGATGTGCAGGTTAGGTGGATTGGTCATGCTAAATTGCCCATAGTGTTTAGGGTGGGAAATGACAGCTAGAGTGGGTCTGGGTGGGATGCTCTTTGGGGGGGTCAGTTTGGACTCGATGGGCTGAATGGCCTGAATCCACACTGTAGGGATTCTATGAAATGATTCTATGGAATCCTGGAAGTGCCTCCTTAACAGCATGTCAAGGACTGCAGTGATTCATGAAGGCAGATCACCAACATCTTGTCTGGGCAACTAAGGACAAGCAATAAATTCTGACTCAGTCAGCGATGCCTGTGTCCAAGAATGAATATGAAATAAAGGCATTAGCTGTGATTCCTTGAGTCATCGAGATCTGCAGCACAGAAAAAGGCCCTTCAGCCCATCACTTGATTAGCCTTTGTCATGTTGACATTTGATTGAGAGAGTTTAGGTTAATAGATGATGTGTTTTACTGGAATGAAATCTGATCCTCCTGAGCACTGCAAGCCCAGTAAAATGCTCAATGCTTCATACAAACTGATCTTATGCCCCAGAATCACCATTTCTACATTACAGTGAATAGCTTCTTCTAATATTGGCGTGGTATCAAACTACCTTGGAGCTAGAAAATTTCAAAAAGTCCCGAGATCGGAAATTGTCCAGTCTAAGAATTTAGAGCAGCCAGATTGTCAAATATAAGACTATTACTGAAATGAAATGTATAAAATAGGGACATATACCTCAGGTATTGGCAGGGAGAAGGTACTCGACTCTTCATGTGGTTGTGAATATAAAAGTGGGTGACCAGGGTATATTTACTCATTATGGGGCAGAAATTGGACCCTGGTTCTAAGTTTATTGAGTGTAAATAGATCACATCAGCATTTTGTTCTTTGTCTCAAGGAACAGTTTACTGTATAGACTTGATGGGCCAAAGGGCATCTACTGTACTGTATGATTTGAGAAAACTGAAAATCTTTAACAGAAAATTGGATCTAGTCACTTTTATCCTGGTTGTCTCGGGCAGGAGTTGTATCATACGAATACAGGACCAGGAGATCATAAAACTAGACCGGCATTACGCAATTCAGTCCCTCAAAACTGCTCTGGCATTCAAAACTGGATTGTGACCTGACTCCATTTTGCTGCCTGCACTCCTTGATTCCCTCATCTATCAGAAATCTATTTCTCTCAGCGTTGAAGATCCTCAATGAGTTAGCCTTCACTGCTCTCTGGGGGAGAATTCCAAACATAAGTAACCATCTGTCACCTTAAATGAGAAAACTATTATTTTTAAACTGCCCCCAAACCCCCACTATTTCTATAATTTTCCAACCATCTACTATGTTAACATGTGTGTATGTGAGTACGCGCATGCTTGCCTGCAAGACTGCGCACGTGTGAGTATGCGCTGGGGGAAGCGAGAGTGCACACATGCATGTGTGTGTGAGAGAGAGATGCATGTATGGCTGACTGTAGGATTCGTGTGTGAGTGTATGTAGGATGTGAATAGGAGTATGTGTAGAGGGTACGACTATGAGGGAGTGTGTGGATGTGGGATTGTGTGTTGTTGTGGGATGCCTGTGTGTGTGTGCGCGTTAGTGTGTGGGGGGTGAGGGGTTGGGTGTGCATGTGTGTTTGTGTGCATAACCACACTTGAGATGAGTACCTTCATAGAATAAACTGAAGTAACCTGTGACACTTTAAAAGCAATGAAGTAAACTTCTCTATGATGCTTGAAAATAAAGAGGTAAGGAAATTAGAACAACCACCATGACAAGAGAAAACTGTTAGCTCTAAAGGCTGATAAGTCCCTGCGACCTGATGGCCTGCATGCTAGAATCTTAAGAAATATAACAGAGAAAATATAGCAGAAATGGCAAAGGCATTGGTTAAAATCTTTTGAACTTCCTTAGATTGTGGAAGTTTCCCAGCAAATTTTCCAAGTAAAATTGCAATATTACTTTATTCGAGAGGAGGAAGGCAGAAAGCCGGAAACTACATTCCAATGAGCCTAGCACAGGGAAAATGGTAGAGTCCATGGTTAAAGAGGTTACAACCGGATATTTGGAAAATCATAATGGAATCAGGCAAAGCCAGCATGGTTCAGTGACAGGGAAATTGTGTTTAAATTATTTATTAGAGTTTTTACGAAGATGAAGGGAAACCAATAGGTTTGGTGTACTTGGATTTTCAGAAAATGTTTGACAATTTCTTTTGAAGGAGACCCAAATTTCCACCGACATCTGCATGAAGATGTGCCTCCTGACATCAGCTCTGAGTAGTCAAACAATAATTTTGAAGGTATGTCCTTTCCCTTGGTCTCCCCACTCTTGAAGAAATTATCTCTCTCCAGCTATCGCACCAAATTCTTTCTTGTCTCATTTTGGAAGCTGCTTAATCTCTTACATTGAAAAGAGTACAAATCTAATGTATACAACATCATTTATCGCTTTTAATATCTTTAGTAGATAAATTATTGTCTCAACATCTGTTTCAGGTCACCAATAGATTCTCAATTCTGATGGACTCGGCACATGTTGCGTCTTTTCATTCAGCATTCTTAAGTATCCTAAGTAGCAGCCACCAACAGAAGCAAGGCAGTTATGAGCTACCTTCCTGAAATACAGCAGTCTATGTTCTGTAGATAGACACACAATGCTGTTAGGGAAGGAGTACCAGGATTTTCACCCAACGACAATGAAGGAATAGTGGTATATTTCCAAGTCAGCATGGTGAATAGCTTGGAGGGGTTCTTGTAGGGGGTGGTGTTCCTGTGTATTTGTTGCCCTTGTCCTTTTAGATAGAAGTGGGCATGGGTTTGGAAGGTGCTGTCTAAGGAGCCTCAGTGAATTTCTGCAGCACATCTTGTAATGGTACACACTGCTGCTACTGATCGTCAGTGGTTAGAGGGTATGAAATTTTGTAGATGTGGTGCCAATAAAGTGGGCTGCTTAATCCTGAATGGTGTCAAGCTTCTTGAGTGATGTTGGAGCTCCACCCATCTAGTAACTGGGGAGTATTCTATTACTTTCCTAACTTGTGCCTTGTTGATGTTCATCAGGCTTTGGGGATTGAGTAGATGAGTGACATGTTACAGTATTCCTAGCCTCTGAGCTGCTCTTGTAGTCACAGTATTCAAATGGCTTGTCAAGTTTTATTGGGTTGATTTTCTCTTACAGGACATGGTCATAGTCTGGTATTTGTGTGGCCTGAATATTACTTGCCACTTGTCAGCCCAAATCTGGACATTATCTAGTTCTGCAAATAGACATGGACTGCTTCAATATCTGAGGAGTTGCAAATGGTGCTGAACATTGTACAATCATCAGTGATCGTCTGACCTTATGATCGAGGTCATTGATGAAGTTGTTTGTGGATGTGTGTCAGGCTTCGGCACAAGTTGTTAATAAAGATCAAGGTCCAATATTGAGCTGGGCATTGGGTCCACATGGTGAGGGGAAAACAGCATCCTTGACAGCACCAAATGTGGATCCCAGAAATGCAACCAAAGCCACATAGCGCATTCCTGCTACTTAGATAGTCAGTGCTCTCCACCAGCAGTACACTGATTCACTTTTCTGTGCAATGTTTCAATCTGAACAGGGAAGAAGCAAGTTTGACAAGACTGCAAATACTTCAGCAAGAAGGTAGTGGGAAATGATCAGGTTGGAAATCAAGTTCTGGGGCTTCTTGCTTTGTGTTCACTGTTGTATAAGGACTTTAGGACCCTGGAGCAATACTGTGATTATGCCACTGAGTTGCTCTCCACTGAATACAAGTAGCGCATTGTGGACGGAATTATTTAGGACAGATTGGAATGGAACAGGTAAGAGTCCAATAGAAAGGAATAGATTAGAATGGTGGTTAGAAGAGAAAAATACATGCAGGGAACTGCCCAGCAACGCAACAGTCAGATTAGAGCCTGGTATATGACGGATTACCATGTATAAGAGTATTTAGTATGAATGCACCATAACCAGTGTGCTGGCAGACAGCTGATAGCTGATATCTAATGAACTGGCCCCCAACAGCTTTCTGTAGGAGAGAATTCCACAGGTTCACAACTCTGAGTGAAATTGTTCCCCATCTCAGTCCTGAATGGTTTACCAATTATTCTTAGACCATGACCCCTAGTTCTGGACATCCCCAACAACGGGAACATTCTTCCCGCATCTAGCCTGTCCAGTCCCATCAGCATTTTATATATTTTGAGATCACCTTTCTATGTTCTAAATTCCATTGAGTACAAGCCCAGCCACTTTCCCCATATGCCAGTCCTGCCATCCCGGGTATCAGTCTGGTGAACCTTCATTGGACTCCGTCAATAGCAAGAATGCCCTTTCTCAGACTAGGACACCAAAGCTGCGTACAATATTAAAGGTGTGGATCACCAAGGTCCTGTATAACTGCAGCAAGATATCCTTACTCTAATACTCAAATCCGCTCACTATAAAGGCCAGCAGGCCATTAGTTTTTCTGACTGTCTGCTACACTTGCATGCCAACCTTCAGCGACTGTTCCACCATGACACCCAGTCTCATTGCACCTCACTTTTTCCTAAACTACCACAATTTAGATAATAATCTGACTTCCCATTTTTGCGACCAAAGTAGATAACCTCACATTGATCCACATCATGTTGCATTTGCCAAGTATTCTCCACTCACCCAGTCTGTCCAAGTCACCCTGTAGCCACTTAGCATCCTCCTCACAGCACACACCGTGACCCAGCTTAATGTCATCTGCAAATTTGGAGATATTGCATTCAATTCCTTCATCCAAATTGTTAATATTCAGTCCCACCACTGACCCCTACAGCACTCCACTCATCACTTCCCACCACTCTGAAAAGGACCCAAATATTCTAACTCTCTGCCAACCAGTTCTCAATTCATGTCAATACATTACCTACGATACCATGAGTTTTAATTTTCCTCACTAATCTCTCATGAGGAACCTTGTCAAAAGCCTTTTGAAAGTCCAGATACACAACATCTACTGATTCACTCCTGTCTACTCTACTGGTGACATCCTCAAAAATTCCCAGAAGATTTAACAAGCATGATTTCCCTTTAGTGAATCCATGCTGACTAAGACTGATTCTGTCATCGCTTTCCAAATGCTCAGTTATTACATCCTTAATAATTAATTCCCGCATTTTCCCTACCACCGACATCAAGCTAAATGGCCTATAACTCCCCATTTTCTCTCTCCCTACTTTTTTTTTAAAGAGTGTGGTCACGTTAGCTACCCTCCAGTCCATTGGAACTTCTCCAGAGTCTATAGAATGCTGGATAATGATCACCGATGCATCTGTTATTTCTAGGGCCACTTCCTTAAGTACACTGGGATGCAGAGAATCAGACTCTGGAGACTTATTGGGTTTTAATCCCATTGATTTCCCCAATATCATTTCCTGAATAATAAGGATTTTCTTCAGTTCCTCCTTCCTGCTTAACCCTCTGTCCCATAGCATTTCCTGAAGGTTATTTGTGTCCTCCTTAGTGAAGACAGATCATATTTGTTCAACTGGTCTGCCATCTCTTTGTTGACCGTTACGAATTCACCTGATTCTAACTGCAAGAGCTACATTTTTCTGCACCAGTCTTTTTCTTTTCACATATCTGTAGAAGCTTAGTGTTTCCCTCTCCTTGCCTTGACACAGATTTTAGATGTGGGCAGAAAACCACATGCCAAAAGCTGAGGTATGTGGGAACTCACCCAATGAAGTTCAATGAAGTTCAATGCAGTGTTATGAGGCTCACCTTCAGCTCCTGAACTTCCATAGCTTTCCTGCCATCCCATGGCCAGCTCCGCTTGGTGAAGTAGTTCACAGTCGCAAATTCAATCAATGCTGAGAACACAAATGCGTAGCAGACAGCAATAAACCAATCCATGGCTGTTGCATAGGCAACTTTAGGCAAGGAGTTCCTGGCACTGATACTCAGTGTGGTCATGGTCAGCACTGTGGTGACGCCTGTGAAATAAAACAATTCCATGAGACCTGTTTGAATCATACTATCTTAGTAGATTCCGTAGTGATTACCATTGTGATAAGAACTTCCTTTGCAATTCATGTCGGAGTGGTTTTGATAACAACAAAATTCTTTAAAATGATTAATTTGGTCTTCCGTTTATATTAAATAACTTGCTCCGGTTCCCTCCCACAGTCCAAAGATGTGCAGGGTAGGTGGATTGGCTATACTAAATTGCCCATAGTGCCCAGGGATATTTAGGTTAGTTGGGTTAGACATGGGAAATGCAGGGGTAGGGGAATGGGTCTGGGTAGGATGCTCTTCAGAGGGGCGGTGTGGACTTGTTGGGCCAAATGGCCTGTTTCCACACTGTAGGGATTCTATGGTCCTAAGTCAACATGAAAATATTCACAATCACAGAATCACAAATTTGTTACAGCACAAGAGGAGGCCATTTGTTCCATCATGAGTGCATCTGCTTTTCAAACGAGTATCATTGCCTAGTGCCAGTCTTCATTTCGCCATATCCCTGCATATATTTACCATCCAAATAATCATTCAATGCCCTCTTGAATACTTTGATTGAACCCCCCCTTCACTGCATTCCAGATCCTAACTACCTGGTGTATGAAAAAGAGTTCCTCATTTCACCCTTCCTTCGTTTACACATCACTTTAAATCTCATTTGCCTCATTTATTTGTGCCTTTCATGAGTGGAAACAGTTTCTCCCTATCTACTCTAATAGATCATAGAATCCCTACAGTGTGGAAACAGGCCCTTTGGCCCAACAAGTCCACACTGACCCTTAGAGCATTCCACCCAGACCCATCCCCCTATAACCCGGAGGAAACCCACGCAGACACGGAGAGAATGTGCAAACTCCACATAGACAGTTGCCCGAGGGCGGAATTGAACCCGTGTCCCTGGCGCTGTGAGGCACAGTGCTAACCACTGAGCCTGCTGAACCCCTAGCCTGCTAATAATTTTGAAAATATTTATCAGGTCTCTTCTCAGCCTTCTTGTCTCCAGGCAGAAGATTCCCAACTTCTTCAATCTGTCCTCAAGGCTAAAGATCCTCAATTTTGCACTCTCTCAGTCCCTTCCTAACAGCACTGTAGGTGAATTTACACCACATGGGCTACAGTGGTTGAAAAGGCAGCTCACCACCACCTTCTCCTGGTCAATGAGGGAGATTTAGTAGGCAGTAAATGCTGACCCAACCAGGGCACTCTCATCCTCTAAACTAATAAAAGAAATGTTACTTGCACAGCAGCAAATCTTTTCTGAGTCATTGCTTCTGTGTTACGAGCTTTGCTTATTTCACAATAGGTTCCTTGGACCCTGAAGATTTAACTTCTTTTTCTTTGGATTTCAAAACTGTCCATTGTTCAGATTTGGAGGAGAGATTAAGATTTGCTCCAACATCAAAAGTGTTAAGGGAGAGTTAGGTTAGATTGACTCTTTAAATCATTCAACAATTAACAAGAAGTTATGAAATTTGTTAGCATGTTGAATGATTGAAAGGGTCAATCCCTTGGATTACAGTTAAGGCTCATCCTTTAAAAGATGGTGTTGTGTCACAGGAGCCACCATTGGCCTCATAGTGCTCTCGAGAGTGCTGCATTCTGATAGCATACTCTGGGGCTCTCCATTCCTCTCAGATGGTACCATCCTCTTATAACACACTATCTTCTGTAGCTACATTCTATGAATTCACTCTTGAGACCATTTCACTTTCCTCTTGTCCTTCAAAATCTTCCTCAAAACCTATCTGATTGATCAGCCTTTCAAATTTGACCTGGCATCTATTTTCATTCGGATTCTGCCCCAGTGAAGTGTTGCATTTCTATCTAAAAGGGTTAATATTTGATTGAGTGCAATAAACAACACCCACTGTGTCATGAGGACGTGGTGGAAGAGTAAAGTAGAATTTTGTGATAGTCAAGCCTGACACAAGTTTCTCCCAACATGCTTTCAGAATATTTTCTAACCAACCTGTTCAGAAATGTTAATACACATCTCTGGGACAGGTGGGGCTTGAACCCGGGCCAACCCTGGTTCAGAAATTCAGACACTACCACAGCACTGCTCTCCCAAAATTTTTTGACACACTATAGAGCCTATTATTATAACATTTAAATAGCGCAGAGATGCAATACATTACATTTTGTTTACTCTGCAACACTTGCCTTGTGTGCCCAGAAAGTGACTACCTCGCTCACACACTAGATTATATAAGCCACTAAAGAAACCACATACTTAGATTTAAACTTCACTAAATAATCCACAAATTCAGAAGACATGGTTGGCAGCACAAATAAACATTAAGCCCTTTTTGCTATCCTTCAGAATTGGTACATATGTTGTCAGGTCAGAAACTGAATCATGATGTCAGGATTCAAACAAGTCCTAATTGTCCTGGAAACTCCAAGAGACAAAGTCTAATCTCACCAGACTCTGCTCTAAATAACACCACAACTGGGCAGGATTTTCCTTACCTGTTGGGGCTTGTGAACCTGCTCAATAAACTAGTCACCAGGATAGAAGAGATACGACTGGTAACGGCTCATTTTTGGAACAGTCGGGACTGTTGATAGCATACGTAGCTGGTTGCAGGCATATCCATGTGATGATCTATATATCTAGTCCTTGCTCTCCAGGATGTGGATCGTAAAAGCATAATCTTAAATCGTCAGTTTATTTGAACTCAATTACATTATTTACCATGGTGATACTTAAACTCACGACTCCCAGGTTGCAGGTTCATCAGATTATCTTTTCCAGTAGGCCAAACCATTCAAGCTGTTCCTTATATGTGGCTTATATCAAGTTCAAACATTTTAATGTGACAGCTCTCATCTTTAAATTCTATCCCCAGATTACAGGTGGAGCTTTGAGCAAACGCATGGTGTGTTTTAATCTGTGATAAGCCGTGTGAGGTCGGAGCCACTAGTTTAAATCCCAACATAGATCATAGAACTGTACAGCACAGAAATGGGCCCTTCAGCCCATGATGTTCTGCTGAATACGACGCCAAATTAAACTAATCCCTTCTGCCTGCCCTTGGTCCATATTGATGTGGTTATGTAAAAGTCCCTTAAATACTCCTATCATATCTGGCTCCACCACCACCCCAGCAGTTAATTCCAGACTCCTACCACTCCTGGAAAAACACTTGCCCCTCACATCTCCTTTGAATTTTCCCCCTCTCACCTTAAATGCATGCCCCTTAGAATTAGACATTTCAGCTCTCGGGAGCTGACCATCAACCCTATCTATGCATCTCATAATTTTATAGACTTCTATCAAGTCCCCCCTCAGCCTTCACTGCTCCAGAGAAAACAACACAAGTTTTTCTAGCCTCTCGTTATAGCTCATACCAGCTATTCCAGGCAACATCCTGGTAAACCTCTTCTGCATGCTCTCCAAATCCTCCACATTCTTCCTGTAATGTGACCAGAACTGAACGCAATATTCTTAAGTGTGACCTAACCAAAGTCTTCGTAATAACAGTAACAATAATAAATGATGAAATGGAACTCAGTCAATCTGAGAGTATGGTGTCCTTTTTGGGTGCCATTCCTTCTGCATTGCTAAGCCCAAAGTTGCAGAAAATAAGTCTTGTTCTCATATATTGCACATGCAAAATAAGAACTGATTTTTCATCTGCCAGGGAGTTGAGGGCTGTTAATTGGTGGTGTATGAATGTCTGCTATAGCAGTGTGATTTTTCTGGATTGAATGGAGTTTAGATGTAAACCAGCAACAGTGCCAGCTGATCACTTGACCTCAGACCACTTGAGAAGCATCTTCTCGAGAAGGTCTCCCGTCACCTTACAGTTTCCCCTCATCAGAGACTAGTGAGGATTCCCTATCTGCTCTGTGCCTGGGGATCTGTCCCAGTTCAACAACAAAAGACCACAGAGAGCAACATTGCCACCACTACAAGCAACTCTCTTGGACTGTTTGCCCAGTCTCTTTGAGCAGTCCTAACCTAAAGCACCGTGAGAAATATTGGAGCAGAAGGGGAATTCAGATCGCTGGTATTGAAGATCAGATGTGAACATGAAATTGGGAACATAGGAGCAGTACTCAACCAGCCACGCAGTTGCCTGACTCAGTTTGGTCTCAGCTGATCTGCATTTTAACTCCAGGACCTGCCTTTTCACAGAAATCCTTAATATAATTTACAAAACAAACAAATTAATGGGCTCTTTTGGTATTGTGGTAGTGTCCCTACCCCTGAACCAGGAGACCTAGATTCAAGTTCCACCTGCTCCAGTGGTATGTAACAACATCTGTTGATTAGGAAAATATATAAAAAGGTCAGTCAGTCTCCATTTCACTGGAAAAAGGATAGGATGCCTAACTGTTCCATCTCACACTCATCGGGATAGGTTCAAGAATTCCCAACTTCAAAGACAGCACAGATTTATATTACAGGAAATAGGGGTATTGATTAGTTAGCAAGTGGACTCCTGTTTGGTTGAGGCATCTCCATGAGAAATCTAGCAGGGAACATGATATACCAAGCATTACTTTAGTTAAAAAGGCACAATGAGTGGACCAGAGACAGTTTATAGCACAGAAAGAGGTAATTCAGCCCATTGTGGCTGTGCTGGTTGAATATCCTAGACCTCCATTCTAATCTCACTCTCTAGCACCTGGTTCCTAGCCTTGCAGGCTCCAGTGTTTCAGACGCAGATTGAGGTACCTTTTAAATGAGTTGATGGTTTGTTCCTTAATCACAAAACTGGGCAGTGAATTCCAGACACCCATCACACTCTGGATGAAAAGGATTTTCCTCATGTCCCCTCTAGTCCTTCCAGCAATCACCTTAAATCTTTCCAATCTTTCCTCATAGCTGCATTCTTCAAACCCTAGCCACATCCTTGTAAATCTCCCCTCTATTCTCACTAAAATAATAATGTCCTTCCTGTAACATGGTGACCAGAACTGTACAAAAAAATCTAGCTGTGATCTAACCAGGGTGAAGGCTCCTCTGCTCTGTCCATTCTTTCCGTTTTTCTCTTTTCTGGGGTGTTTTTTCCTTCATACTTTTAACTCCCAAAACTTACCCGGAGGGGAATGGACCGGAGACTGTCGCGGGCAGGTGGGTCCTGGAGGTGAGTCCTAGACCGGAGGTTGGCGCGGGGAGGCGGGTCCTGGAGGTGAGTCCTAGACCAGAGGCCATTGTGGGAAGGTGGGCCCTGGACAGGATGCTGCTGTGGGGAGGTGACGCCCCTGCGGACTGGAAGTGAGGCATTGAGTTTTGAAGCCCTGTGTGGTCTAGAGACTTGGCCCGGTGCGTTCTGGAGGCTACGTGCTGGCATCGATTTGGTGAAAAGGACTGTAAATTGAGTGCTTTGTTTTAAATGTTTTATTCTTATGCAGGACTTTTTTTTTATTATTCTTTCAATTCTGTACCAAGTATTTAAGCATCTGTACCTAGGTAACTTGTACCTAAAATAGCGCCATAAGCAGCAACATTGCAAACTTTTCACTGCACTCATTCGAGTACACGTGACAATAAAGCTAATTCAATTCAGTGTTTTATATAGTTCTAACATTGCATCACTGCTTTTATGTTCAAAATCTCACTCCGTATGCCTTCTCTACCATTTTGTGGACGTGCACTCCAAGGTCTCTCGCTTCCTCTAGCCATCTCAATACCCTCCTGTTTATTGTGTATCCCTTTTCTTTGTTTGCTCTCCCCAAATGCATAACCTTGCACCTTTACAGATAAATAAGCTTCTTCCCATGCACCAAAGTAAGTGCCAGGTCCAGGAGGCTGAAAACTGTAGAAGATGAAAGGACATTCTTCACACAATTCCTTCAAAATGCGCCAAACTCCCACTTTACATTCTGTACAACCATAGCAGCACTTGGCAGGCAAGACAGCATTGAGGGAGTCCCTCTAGCCTTCCTGAAAACAACTGACAAAGCTACATTAAACCAGCTCCTATTCAAGGGGAGGCAGTAGTATAGTGGTAACGTAAGTAGCTTAGTGGAGTATCATTAGTAACCAAAAACGCTAGACCAATCATGTTGGACATGGACACAAATCTCATCACAGCAGATGCTGACATTTGAATTCAACAATCGTTTGGAATTAATATCTTGACTAATGATGATCATGTAACCATTGCTGTAATAAAATCAACAAGTGATAGACAGAGTTAAGCAATTCCATGGCTAAATGATCAGATCTCGGCTCCACAGTCCTATCACATCCAGTCGTAAATGGCGGTGGATAATTAAACAACTCACTGGAAGAGGAGGGTCCTCAAATATCCCCATCCTCAATGATGGAAGAACCTAACACATCAGTGCAAAAGATAAGGCTGAAGCATTTGCAGTAATCTTTGGCCAGAAGTGCTGAGTGCCATCCTTATCAGCACCATCTGGAGATCCCCAGCATTACAGATATCAGTCTCCAACCAATTCAATTCACTCCATGTGATATCAAGAAATGGTTGAAGCCACTGGATACTGCAAAGGCTATGGACCCTGACAACATTCTGGCAACATTACTGATGACTTGTGCTCCAGAAATTGCCAAACCTCTAGCCAAGCTGCTCTATACAGTTACAATACTGACATCTACCTGACAATGTGGAAAAATGCTCAGGTATGTCCTGTTCGCAAAAAGCAGGACAAATCCAGCCTGGACAATTACCACCCCATCAATCTACTTTCGATCATCAGTAAAGTGATGGAAAGTGTCACCAACAGTGCTATCAAGCAGCAACTGCTCAGCAATAACTTGCTCAGTGACACCAGTATGGGTTCCGCCAGGGCCACTCAGCTCCTGACCTCATTATAGCCTTGGTTCCAATAAAGTAGAATAATAAACCTGACAACTAAGTTGAGACACATAGAGTATTGGTAATAGGGGCACAACATCAGCTGAGTGGCAAGAAATGGACAAGATCAAAATGTATTTAGAAGCAAATGGGCCTTTTAGCAAGAGACAGCACAGTTTTGTTCGGGAGAGGTTGTGCCTCACTAACTTGATCAAGCTTTTTGAGGAGGTGACAAAGATGATTGATGGGGAAACGTTGTTGATGTTGTCTACATGGACTTCAGTAAAGCGTTTGACAAGGTGCCTTATGGAAGACTGGTACAAAAGGTGAAGTCACATGGTATCGGGGTGAGCTGGCAAGATGGATACAGAACTGGCTTAGTCATAGGCGACAGAGTGTAGCGGTAGAAGGATGCTTTTTGGAATGGAGAGTTGTGACTAGTGGTGTTCTACAGGGATCGATGCTGGGACCTCTGGTCTACATAATGATTTGGAGCAAAACGTAGCTGGTCTAATTAGTAAGGTTGCAGACAATACAAAGATTGGTAGAATTGCGGATAGCGAGGAGGAGGATTGTCAAAGGATACAACAGGATGTAGATCAGTTGGAGGCATGGGCAGAAAAATGGCAAATGGAGTTTAACAGACAAATGTGAGGTGATGCAGCTGGAAGGTCAAGTACAGGTGGAATGGCAGAACCCTTAGGAGTATTGATATGCAGAGGAATCTGTGTGTGCAGGTTCACAGATGACTGAAGGTGGCAGTGCAAGTAGGTAAGGTTGTTTAAAAAGGCTTGTGGCATGCTTGCCTTCTTGGAAGGTGCATTGAGTATAAGGATAGGCAAGTTATGCTGTAGCTTTATAGAACTTTAGTTACACCACACTTGAAATATTGCATACAATTGCATACACTATCAGAAGGATACGGATGCTATGGAGAGAATTCAGAAAATGTTCACTAGGATTTTGCCCGGTATGGGGGACTTTAGCAATGCAGGAAGGTTGGATAGACTGGGTTTGTTTTCACTGGAACAGGGGAGGTTGAGGGTCGACCTGATAAAAGTTTATAAGATTGTGAATGGCATGGTTAGAATGGAAAGTATGAGGCTTTTTCCCAGGGTCAAGGGGTCAATTACTAGGGACACAAATTCAAAGTGCTGGGAGATTAATGGATAGCAGTGTCTCTATGTCTGTGTCATGATTGGTTAGTAGATAGATTATTGCCTCTGAATATTGATTGGTAATATTAGCTACAGTTCCCTTGAACCAGAATCTGCTGCTTCACATGGTACGAAGCTGATTGCCAGGGTGTTGGAGGTTTGTTAATCAGACTAGCCTCCCTGCTGTTTCCAACCAAAATACTGCAGACATATGAAAAGCAGCAATTGAAATCAATGGCATTCACAAGTAGATTTTAAAACAGAATCCACTCCTTTCCATCTGGCTACAATTGACCGGCTTTGAAAAGACCATTACATTCGCAAAACACATACGCAAACAGCCATTTATATTTATGTAGCACTTTTAATGTAATGAGACATCCCAAAGTGCTTCACTGGAGCATTATAAGACGAAACTTAACTCCAAGGCAGATCAGGAAAGGCTCATTCCGGTGAACAAAATTTTAGTGAAAGAGGTAGGACTCACTTTGTGTCTTAAAGGTGGAGAGGTGTGGGGACCAAAATCCCAGAGCATGGGGCTAAGGCAAAAACACCAATGATGTACAAGGCATGACTTACGTACTTATGCAATGATGGAGGAATTGTAGCTGGAGTATCAAAGAAGCTATGATTACAGGAGTGCATTTATTTCGGAGTACTGCAGTACTGGAGTTAACAACATAGGGAAGAAGGAGGTCATAGATGGACTTGAAAACAAGGATGATAATTTTAAAATAAAGAATTTTCTTAACCAAGAGCAAATGTAGGTCACTGAACACAGGGTGATTGAGTAACAGGACTCTGTCAGAGTGAAAGCACAGGCAGCAGAATTTTGGATGACATTAAGTTTATAAGAATGTAAAAGTGCATTAGAATGAAGGAACTGATTATATGCTGCGTGCATATGGAAATGACAGTTTACTCACCAAACACAGTGCGTGCAGGGACAGATTCCCTATTCAGCCAGAAGGAGACCTGGGAGAGAATCACAGTCATAATGCAGGGCAGGTACGTCTGGATCACAAAGTAACCAATCTTCCTCTTTAGATGGAAGTGGGTTGTCATGATAATGTATTCACCTGGAAGGACATGAAAAGTAAAGAATTAGGCAAAGGTAGTAAAAATGCAATAAGTCAAAATCTGAGAAACTGTGACACACAGTGACAAACCCCATTATCTGTGATGAGTACATATTATCACATTCATGAGGACTTCCCTATATACACTGAGTCATAGGGACACCCTATAAATACTCACATAACAACAACTTTCAAGAATCTTTAATAAAATAATACATTGTTTGATATAGCTTGAGTACTGACACTGTTAGTGGAAGCTTTTCATCATTACTCAACAGGGACAAACACAAGAAATGCCAATACAAAGGGGAATATCAAACCTTGTCCCTTTTTATGTTGGTATTCTTACAAATTGTCTCGTGAGTGTAGAATAAAAACCTTTGACAAATATGTCTTTTTGCAGAAATGTCCCGAGGCATTTCACAGAAGCATTGTGAAGAAACATTTGAGGCCCAGTCACATAGATTGGTGACATCAGGGAAGACTGCTAAATTGTAATATCAAGGCTATGGCATCACTTAACCAAGAACCAATGTAGGTTAATGAACACAACTGTGATAGACAAATGGCAGCATTGCAAGTATGAACATAAGAGATTTGGATGACATTGAGATTCCCTGAGAAGCTGCACCTATTTGGTACCTTGTTGGCCTTAACGCATCTTTAGAGCACATGTTCCAAAGTGCTTCATGACTTGATAAATACTTTTTGAATTGTAGTCATTATTTTTCTATAGGTGAATGACACAGTCAATTGCTTGATAGCAAAGTTTGACAGCTGCAAATGAATGAGCAATTGATGGACGATAATGCTGCCTTCATTTCCAAAATTTCCAAACTGCCCAATCAAGCTGTGACTGATCCATTTCAAAGGCAGAATGGCATCAACCTACACCCAAAGTACATGAGGCAAGCTGATCAGGTTCTAGAATGGCAGAAGGTTGTAGAATAGTGCTGAATGAAATACTCCAGCTGGAGAGCAGATCTCCTGAAACAGTTCAGTTGTCTGCTTCATTCCTGGTCAGTCCTGTGTTGACTGTGTAAATGACTGCATGTACTGTATATTGTAATATAAATTGGAAATTGGGACTTTGGATTGTTAGTATTTTTACACAACTAGAAGGAACAGTGGAACTGTATACCATTCTTTGGATGAAAATGGATTTGATACTTTTGTGAGACAAGTTGGCACAAGGTGTTTTTGGGGATAGATAGTAATCATCCAGCAACATCTAGGGGAATTGTTTAATTATGGTTTGTCACAGACCTTAGGGAAGAAAGGGGGAGTTAGAACTCAGACCTATATATGGACTGATAACAAGCAAGATCTCTCGCTCTCACTCTCGCTCTCTCCCTCTCTCTCTGTCTCTCTCGCTCCCTCCCCCTCTCTCTACTCGCTCTCTCGCTCTCTCTACTCGCTCTCTCTCTCTCTCGCTCTCTCTCTAGCTGAGCAGGAAAGAAAGTAACACTCAAAGACTTTCCAAAAAGAAAGAACTGCTCACTCAAGCCAAGGCTTCAGTCCAAATAACCAGCTACTAAATTGAGGATTGCTGCAGTAGAGAATAATATACCATCACCAAAAAGCAAAAACTAATTCTGATAAAAATCTCTTCACTTCCCTTTTGTGGTTTAGAATCTGAATGACAGATTTTGTGCTGTTTTGTCTCTACTTTATACCCATGATATACCTAGAAGAACAGTTTGGCATTTCAGTCTTGTACATTCCCTGTGTGAATGAATATCTGTGTACTTGGATTTAAAGGGTGCCAAGTTTAAGTTTGCATTTTAGTAATTAATAACCTGTCATGGCACATGTTAGAGGATAATTTTGTATAATAAGGAGGTTTTGTTTTATTTTTGCTTCATTGATTGAATCTGATGTGAGTTTATTTTATCCGAGAGAGCGGTCACAGTCAGATAGAGGTGCTATCTTTCAGATGAGAAGTTAAAGCAAGACTAGTTCTGTCCTATCAGGTGGTTCAAAAAAGACCCCATAGCACCACTCCAGAGCTGCCAAACCCATCAATACTCTTATTGTTTGTTTCTTAACATTAACTAAATTAGACATACAGTTAGTTATAAACCTTGTTAATAGCTCACGTAAAATTAAAAGGTGAAGTCAGAGTCATACAGGTCTTTAGACTGCATCCAAACACTAATACAAAAGCAAAATATGGCCAATGTTGTGATTCTTACATAAAAACAGAAATTCCGTACCAGCAATTTTGCTTTTGTTGCTCATACCGAAAGTGCTTTACAACACACTTTACAACCATAGCTGTTATTCTGTCTTAACAGTTAGATGGTCATGTTTACAACTCTGGTAACTCTGATTGTGGAGTAGGTGAATAATGCAGACTTCTTCAGAATATTCTGTTTAAGATTTTGTAGCCAAAAGTTTCCCAAAGCTGGATGGAGTAATTGCTTGGAAGGCACAACATTTGTTGTGCATATGTGCACTTCATTGGCTGTGCCTGCACATTCAGCTAGGCTCTTGAGAGCAGACTGCTGAAGTAATTGCAATAGGAGCCTGCTGAAGCACATCACCTTACCTGTGCCTGAATCACAGTTGTGCAAATTCCAGGAAGCCACAAATCACTACCATGACAAAAGCAACAATTAAATCATGATCAACTCATTTATAACATGACAAATTGCAAGCAAACAACTCACCAACTATCCTAGTATCTGTTACCAGCTTTACAGGGAAGTGGTGGTAACATAGCTGATCATCCAGAGGCCCAAGCTAATGGTCTGGGGCTACATGTTCAAACAACACCACAACTGCTGGTGAAATTTACAAACTCTAGTGGTAAATTAGATTAGTTAATGAATCAAAGGAAGCTAGTCTCAGTAATAACACCATGAAACTATTATTGATTGCTATAAAAACCAATACGGTTCCCTAATGTCCTCGAGGGAGGGAAATTTGATGTGGTCTGGCCTACATGTGACACCAGACCTACAGTGATGTGTTTAATTCTTAACTGCCCTGAAAGGGAATTTAGGGATGGGCAACAAAAACTGACCAGGCCAACATTCCATAAATGGATCTTGAAAATTACAATTGAGGTTAACATGCAACAAATACGAACTCACAAAATACCACTGTGATTAAAACAACAATCACTCCACCAATTAGAATGATAAGTTTCTATTAGCGTCATCACAAATTCCTGTTGGGGTTAGCAAGTAAAGCAGCAACCTACAAAGTACTATTAACTCCTTCGCACAACACAGTCAAAAGAATCATGGTCCAAGCAGCTACTATAATTTCAGGCTCCTGGTCCCACAACTTTAAGGGGTTTCAGGTTCCATAGGATTCAGTCTCCAGTCAAGACGCATCAATTAGTTCGATCTCACTCGGCAACACGCTGCACTACAACAGACCCCACCTTTACTTCCTCTGCAGCAACTAATTTGATATATACTAGCAATCAAAGACTTACTGTTATGAACACTGTATGATTCATAGATATGTTTAACATCATGCATTTTAAGTTTTTCTGTGTGTCTGAAGAGTTTAATGATGAAGTTTTAGATATTTCTGTAGCCATGCTGATTTCTTCTAAAACAGCTTGAGGGAGCAGCTTGAGGGAGAACTAATCAGTTTTTATTAATCTCAGGACGTTTATGACCAAGCAAGACAAACAACTGTGCACCCAGGTTTCTGTTAGAAAATTCTGGAATTGCGTTTTTTTTTATATTTAAGCTGAAGGGAAATACCCATAGCTTGGTGAGTAAAATAAGTGTTTTTGGTTTTTAAATTTTAAATTTTATGCAGAAGTCTTTGCATAAAAATGGATGTATAAATCAGTGATTTGAGAAGGGGAGAAGATAGCAACACTGGATTATCTTAGAGTAAGATGTTTAGAGAGAGTGCCAGAACAGAAGCAGTTGTATAAAACCCTGAAGAGGTTATTTGAATCTGAGAACATTTAAACTCAGGAATATGACAGCTCGAGGAAAAGCCTATCCAATTTTCCAGACTGGGATTTAAAGTCACGGTTAATTTAAATCTGTCTTGGTAATAGAAAAAAAAAACTCTCTGCTGTCAATATTGAACAAGGAATGCTTTTGGGCACTGAGAAGAGGTGTTTTTGTAAACAGCAAAGGATTGTTTTGGGATTAATTTGGTTGTAATTCCACCATATACATCAAAACCTTTACAGCAGATGTGAGATATATAAAACTGAAATAACTACAGATGCTGTAAATCAGAAACAAAAGCACAAATTGCTGAAAAAAACTCAGCAGGTCTGGCAGCAGCTGTGGAGAGAAATCAGAGTTAACATTTCGGGTTGAATGACCCTACCTCAGACTGTTCTGAGAAAGAGTCGCTTGACCCGAAATGTTAACTGTAATGTATATATAAATAGTATGATCTATTGATATGCTCCTCATTTCATTTGCTTAATAAATTTTGTTTTTTTTGTTAAAACTGAATCTGTCATATTATGTGCCTTTGTTTTAGTGAGAGATCACTTTTTTTATAACCAAAACAAAACTAGATTTGGTCTATCAAGCCAGATTTAAGCCTTGGATCCAACTTTTCTAGAAATAACATCAGATGAGATCATAACAGTACAGAGAAGAACTAACAAAAATCTAAAGTTATTTTCAGAGCTGTCTTGTGAGACTGCAAGTGAAGATTAACCCAGCTGTGAAATCATGTCTCCCACAATCAATTTGTGGCAATTGACTTATAGATTATGTTAAAAAAAAAACGGCAGCCATGTTCTCCCCCTTTCATTTGGACAATGTTTATCATTCGGCAGAACCATCAAAAACAGTGATCTTGTCACTTAGAACATAAGAACATAAGAACTAGAAGCAGGAGTAGGCCGTCTGGCCCTTCAAGCCCGCTCCGCCACTCAATAAGATCATGGCTGATCTTTTTGTGGACTCAGATCCACTTACCTGCGTTCTCACCGTAACCCTTAATTCCTTTATTGTTCAAAAAAAATCTACCTTTTCTTTAAAAATGTTTACTGAAGTAGCGTCAACTACTTCACTGGGCAAGGAATTCCATAGATTAACAACCCTCTGGGTGAAGAAATTCCTTCTCAATTCAGTCCTAAATCTGTTCCCTAAATCTGCTCCATTTATTGCATGACTGTTTATGGGAAATTGCTGTGCATAAATTGGTTGCTGTCTTCAGTACAATGATGACTGCACTTAAATAGGCTTCATTGCCTCTAAAATACTTTAGCACACCTGAGGTTGTGAAAGTGTGGCTATATAAATGCAAGCTCTTTTCTCTTTGATGAGGTCGGAGTGCTCCTAAGTTGTAGAAGAGCAAAAATGTTTCTGAATTCCTGCATAAAATCTTCATCCTCGAGACTTAAAGAGAGTGCAGGTACAAATAATACTCTGGAGACGTGTCAACATTGCTTCTGAATAAAGGGACTCACAGAGAGAAAATATTCTATTGGACTGGGATATAAACTGATACATAATGTAGGCTAGGACTAATGTCCTGATCAATTGTAGAACTAGGCTTTAAATTAAGGAGGTTTTGAATGAAGAGAGATTAAGAAATTCAAAGAGAATTATTGAAGCATCAGAATAGTATAATGAAATGAGCAAAGATAGGTAGAACATGACAGGAATGGAGTTTAGCATAAACTGTACATCTGTAAATATAGTCAAAGTAGGCAGAAAATTTCTTCACCAGGATGCATGAAGATATTGAACCAGTGACACAAATAGCATTAAATGTTTAGATTTAATCACTGTTAGAGAGACATGGGCGCAAAGTGATCAAGTTTGTAAAGTAAATATTGCAGCATTTAATCATACATTGGAAAGACAAATGGAATGGCAAAGGAGGAGAGATGGCTCTGATTGTAAAGAATGACATAAAAGCAACTAAAATAATCATCTAAATGCTATTAAGTGTCATGTAATGTTTGAAAAGTAAATACTACATTTACAAATAGGAATCTTACTTAAGCAAAGCCAGTTTTGTGAATACAAGGGAAGAACTGGCAACAGTTAATTGGGTAAATTGACTACAAAATTTTGTTGTAAACGTACAGTAAAACGCACTTAAAGATTTCAAAATGTTCAACAAAATGCATTCCACTGGAGAAAAAAAAATACAGTAAGACAAACCTATCTGTGGTTTCTCAGAATGTTATGTATGATATTAGATTAAAAGATGAACTTTCAAATATTGTAAAGCAAAGTAAATTCTGAGGATTGGAAATGTTTTAGAAGTCAACAGAGAGATTCCAAGATGATAAAAAAGGGAACAAACAAAATGAGAACAAACTAGCTAGGAATGCAAAATCAGATTGTAAAATCTTTTATGGATACATAAAAAGCAAGAGGGTACTTCAAGTAAATGTTGGACCCCTAGAAGCAACAATACATGAAGGACACCATTAGTATTCAAATGTTTGCCAGATCTTTATGGTTTCTGCAGTTTCCTTTCAGTTGCCAAATGAAGTATGTTCGTACAATTTAAAATGTTCATCTTTAAATGTGCCTTCATCGTCTCTGATCTGTAAGCACTGCTTGCCTTTGAGTCTTTGGACTCTCAGCTACTCAGTTCAGGTTGATTCTAACATCATTCCCTCAAGCCCTGAAATATTTCTCCTCTGGTAACAAAAGATTAATGTCCATGACTGGATGGATAGATCAAAAACTTGACATCAGAACTTTCCTTCACTTTCAGTATTGTTTATGTCGAGGCTTGCATGTTTTCATTGTGCAATGAGTTTGCGAGATTGTGGGGCTGCTGGTGTGATGTGGAAGAACCAAGAATCAACCTGTTTCTTCTGGCCTGTTCCAAAATCATTGGTCTGTCAATCCTCAAATTAATTTGACTAAATAAGTGATGTATGAGGATGTGCTGACTCTGCCTCTGAAGCCACCTACCTGTATTTGATTGAATAATCTCCATCCCAACTGTCTGTCCCAACAGATCGTATTGGTTCAATCTGGATCCATCCTCAGCAACAACTACTGATTCCTTCTGTCCATGTGTCCAGACGTAGACCACCTCAGACCTGGTATAGGCATCTGTTGAAACAGGCACCAGAGTCATCATTCCATGTAACTTCACAGTCTGCTCTGCTCCCCTGCGTCAAAGTGACCAACACTGGCACTGCAACTGCCCCCCCTCCTGCGGGTGGCAGAAGGATATCTGATCATTATAACATGTTACTGAGGGGAATGAGATACCTGGTCTACTCTTTTAATCTGCCAAGTTAGACAAACGAGCTTCAAATGGTGTAAGTGCATTGATGGTGCATTTGACTAGCCAGACTTACAACTGCCGAATTTCAGTGGGCAGGCGTGTGTATCCATGGGGAAGTCCTCCAGATGCATCGGGCACTCTGCATTGATTGTAAGCCTGCAGACACAGGAGAAAGAAAAGAACCAGTTACTGCATGAAAACTGACAGCCAATTTGCTATATTTCCTAAAGGTGACCGGGGTTTCTGCTTCTTCTAACATTCCAAGCAGTGAGTCCCAGACCCCGATCACTCTTTGGGTGAAAATAGTTCTCCCCATCATTCTACCAGTTACTTTAAATCTCTGTCCCTTGTTATGGACTTGTCTGCTCAGGAGATTAGGTCTTGCCTATGTATTCTTGTCTGGGTATCTCATCATTTTGTATACCTCAGTTAATTCTCCCCTAAAGCCTTCTCCATTTCAAAGTAAACAACAAAAACCTCTGATAATTCCACATAGTGAAAATATCCATTCCTGGCAACAGCCTCAAATCTTTGCATCTTCACCAGCGCAATCAGTACTCCAGCTATAATCTGGCTTGCAGCTTATACAGTTCTAGCATTATTTATTTTGTGAATGCCAATCCTGGAGTCAAGTAAACATCTCCTCATTTGCTGAGTTTAGGGCGATGAGTTCACCCCTTAGTCTGTATAGCAACACTCCTTGGTAACGTGCAGCATTGTCTCTGACTGTCCACAGAGGCCTCAGAGGTGCTCACTATTAACAGCATATCAATTTATGCATCATCTGCAAATTTCTTTATCATGCCTAAAAACTTTACGCACACCATCAAGGAACCTAGCGCTGAGCCCTGTGGAGCACCAATGGAAGCAGTCTTCCAGTCACAAAAAACAGTCATCAACCATTACCCTTTGTCTCCTGCCACTGAGCAAATTTTCCATCCTATTTCCACTTTCTCTTGGATGCCATGAGTTTAAAAAATTTCTGATCAGCCTGCCAGCAGGGACCTTGCCTTAAACTTTGCTGAAATCTCCAGATTACATTACATGCACTACCTTCATTGATTCTCCTTATTATCTCAACTGAAACCCTACTCAGATCAGGCAGACTTGACTTTCTCTTCAAAGATTCTTGCTGACTGTCTTTGATAAATCCAAGGCTTTCTTACTGTAACACCATGTCGTTTTATTTCTCTGTACAGTTAGTTTTGAACTGAAATAAGAAAAGAAGTGTTTTTTAAAAAATGAGGATTACTTCATGTTTGGAAAAGGATGTGGAGGCATTCTTCATGTCATTTCAAAAAAATGGCTAGACAAATAAATTACACCAAAAAATTTGTATTGTTAATGCAAAGAAATTTGACAAGTAAAGTGCAGCAAGTTTACGTTTAACTGTCAAAGGCATTTAGAGTCACAGAGGTCTACAGCATGGAAACAGGTACCTCATCCCAATTTGCCAATGCTGCCCAGTTTTCACAATTAAACTAATCCCATTTGCCTGCACTTGGTCCATATCCCTCCATACTTATTCCATTCACATACCTGCCTAAATGTTTCTTAAGTGACAAAATTGTACTCACCTTCACTGCTTCCAGCAGCCTGTTCCAGATACTCAACACCCTCTTTGTGAAAAAATTGCCCCTCTGAAACATTTTGTACCTCTCCCCTCTCACCTTAAACCAATGCCCTCTAGTTTGAGGATCCCCTATCGTGGGGAAAAGCTGTTGGCTATCTACCTTATCTACGCCTCTCATGATTTTATAAACCTCTGTAAGGTCACCCCTTAGTCTCCTATGCTCCGGGGTAAAAGTCCAAGCCTGTCCAACCTCTCCTTATAACTCAAACTTTCCAGTCTAGGTAGCATCCTAGTAAATCTTTTCTGCACTCTTTCTAGTTTACTAATATGCTTTCTATAGTAGGGTGACCAGAACTGCAAGCAGTCCTCCAAATGTGGCCTCACCAACATCTCGTACAGCTGCAACAAGATGTCCCAACTCTGATACTCAATGCTCTGACTGATGAAAGCAAGCATGCCGAAAGCCTTCTTCACCACTCTGTTTAACTGCAACTCCACTTTCAAGAAGCTATGAACCTATACCCCATCTTTGTTCTATGACACTCCCTAGGGCCCTTTTCTCTTTGAATTATAATGCTGTAAAGAAAACTATCAGCAGTATACGAGAGTTAGTGCCTGAGGCAAAGACACAAATGATCTGGAATTTAAGGAAATATCCTAGGCAAACCAAAAATGAATTTGAAAATCTTAAGCAAATTAATTTTTTCAGGTGGATATTAGCATTAGAAACTGAAACCATGTAGAAGCTCTTAGGGACATTATTCTCTTGGCAGAATTTAAAAAACTCGTAACTTTCCATGACAAGAACTCATTGAGAAGCAAAGAATTGATAGTTCTGGACAGACATCAATAATGGCTGAAGAGGATGTTAATTCATAAACAAAACTTCCCATCAACCCCACAAAAATGGGAGAGTGAATGGAAAGCCTTGGTCAGGGTAAAGAATGGACAGCTGGGAATGACCTAGTTCTCTTCCTCAGGTCAAAAAGGAAAGTACTGAGGATGGTGATGAAAATCAGAGCTGAGGTGTTTCATTGTAACAAGGTGGGACACATTTGTTCAGAATGCTGGAAGTTGAGAGGGAAACCCTGGGGACTTAATGAATTTCATAAGAACAAGTCTGAAAATAAAACTCATAAGGAAAAGGTCATGCATCAGATTGTAGCTTTAACTACAACTTAGAGACTGGAGGTAAACTCTTCTGTGGCTGCAGATAAAGCACAGAGGGTAGATGAGAGATATGAAAGGTAAAAATAGCCCCTTTATCTTAATAGGATGCATCTAAACCCACAATAATATCAAGGGATACAGGGACTACTCAAATTATACAGCTGGTGAAGGACTTAGTTTCCTTCCATAGTGTTCAATGAAATTCAAAGTGTTGATACCTGAGATTAGTGGAGAGTATATCCCAGCTCCATTGTACAAAGTCCAACAGGAGCATGACTTGTTGTCTGGACTAGTGATAGTTGATTCACTTCTGGGGAATGATTTAGCAGGAGTGAAAATCATACCTTCGCCTATAACCATGGAAAGCCTAGTTAAAGTTAAAGAGATGAACAGTTGGAGGAGCACGTTCCGGGTCCTAATCTATTGTGTGTAGGGACCAGAGCAATAGCTCAACAAAGCCCCTCATCAGATTTCACACAAAATCCACAAACGGATGTTAGGGCAGCTATCTTCTATTTAAGAATGGGTGGCACAGTGGCTCAGTAGTTAGCACTGCTGCCTCGCAGCAGCAGGGACCGTGTTCAATTCCAAGCTGTCCGTGTGGAGTTTGCACGCTCTCCCCGTGTCTGTGTGGGTTTCCCCGGGTGCTCCGGTTTCCTTCCACAGTCCAAAGATGTGCAAATTAGATGGATTGGCCGTGCTAAATTGCCTGTTGTGTTCAGGGATGTGTAGGTTAAAAGTATATTAGCTGTGGGAAATACAGGGTTACAGGGAAAGGGTAGGAGGTTGGATCTGGGTGGAATGCTCTTTGGAGGGTTGGTGTGGACTTGTTGGGCCAAATGGCCTGTTTCCACACTGTGGAGATTCTATGATCTATGACTCTATGATCTAAGTATTTGGTGTGTCCTCATTAATTGAGGGTCGGGAAGCAGATCCAGAGTTAATTTAGACAGAGACAGCTCACTCTGGAGGTGAGGCTGAAGGAGCTCCAGTGTGTCATTATATTAAAAAGTGATCTGCTGAGGAAATGGAGATGTCTTCACAGACCTGCAAGTGGCCAGATATTCATGAAATAGTGATACTGCTAGATATCAGGAGACATTGTGAATGGCACATGAAATTTCTCTGGCAGGGCATAAAGGAATGCGGAAAACACAGTCATTGATAAGCACATATTTTACATGGCCAGGACTTCATAAAGACATAGTGCAGTCCTGTAAAACATATCTTCTATGTTCGATGGTAGGAAAATCCCAACCCGTCATCAGACCAGCAGCTTTGACACCGAAACCAGTTTTTAAAGACCATTCAGTCCAGTGTTAATGGATTGTGTAGGACCATTAACAAAAATGAAAGCAGGACATCCGTATACCCTTACAATTATGGATGTGACAGTCTGAATTTTAGAAAAAATATCATTCATGGGATCTGGGTGTTGCTGGCTAGGCCAGCATTTGTTGTCTGTCCCTGACTTCCAAGAGAGCAATTAAGAGTTAACCTCATTGCTCTGCATGTGGAGTCACATGTCAGCCAAATAAGGACAACAGTTTAATACCCTTTACTAAAGGGTATTAGTGAACTCAATGGGGTTTTCCTGGCAATCAGCAATGTTCTTATGATCATTATTAAACTCTTAATTCCAGACTTTTACTGGTTTTAAATGCCACCTTCTACTATGGCAGGTACTCAAACCCATGTCCCTGGAACATTTCCTAGGTCTTTGGATTAATCATTCAGTGATAATACCACTGAGCCACCATCTCACATTCTCAAAATCTATTCCTTTAAGGAATGATTACAGTTAGGGTAGTAGTGGAAAAATTAAGGCAGTTTTTTCTTTCTGTTTTTGGACAGTTGAGATACAGTCTGGTCAGGATTTGAGTTTCACATCTAAAATTTTCCAGGAAATCATTAGCAGATTGGATAGAAAACAAATGAAGTCAAAAGTATATCATCCAGAAATGCAAGAAGCATTAGAGAAATACCATCAGATTCTCAAAAAAACAATGAAGGCGCACTTCCACAGGATTGGAGCTAGATTTCTTACTACTTACCTGCAGAGATTCCTCAAATGAATCAATTGGATTTAGCCCATTTGAATTGTTTTGTGGAGCTGAGATTAATGAATTGTTCCGGAGAAGTTCTTGAACCAAAATAATGAATCCTCAATGTTGGATTACATGTCAAAGATCTCAGGAGCATGTAACGGAGCACAAGAATACTTGAAAGTCTCACCAGCAAAATACGAAGAATGGGCAGATAAACATTCAGCAACCATAATGTTTCAAGTGAGAGATAAGTGTTGGCATTGCTGACTTGTAAGATGAGCCTCTGAAAGTGAAAGTCAGTGGTCTATCCAAAATAGTTGGGAGGATTTGTAAAGTGGCTTACCTGATAGATAATCATGATCATG